CGGAAACAGGCTCCAGGCTCTGAGCCATCAGCCCAGAGCCTGACGCGGGGCTCGAACTCACGGACCGCGAGATCGTGACCTGGCTGAAGTCGGACGCTTAACCGACTGCGCCACCCAGGCGCCCCTAAATAGTATTTTTAATAGGAGGCAGCTAAAAAATATTCATCTGAAGAACAAATCAGAATTGCAAAACTATAGTCAAGGGTATTTTATTATAAAATATCTATTATAAAAAGATTGAAATAATGTTTGCTCTTAGAAGGTAATATATGTATTCTGCCAAGCCCAGGATCTCACATAGTGTGGACACTCACTAAATGGTAGTAATTTTTAAAATATCCCTTTTAGCATTTATTGGCAGAAAAAATATTCGATTCTTCTGAGAACATTCACTTTTAGTAAAAAGAATAATGAGAATTATATATTCCCTCTCGTTTACCTATCTTATGGAACTGAGGGAAATGCAAAACTAAATGTGGTGCTTGGGGCGCCTGGGTGGCTCAGTCGGTTGAGCGTCCGGCTTCGGCTCAGGTCATGATCTCACGGTTGGTGAGTTCGAGCCCCACGTCGAGCCCCACGTGGAGCCCCACGTCGGGCCCTGTGCTGACAGCTCAGAGCCTGGAGCCTGCTGTGGATTCTGTGTGTCTCTCTCTCTCTGCCCCTCCCTTGCTCATGCTCTTCCCTATCTCTCCAAAGTAAATAAACATTAAAAAAAAAAAATTAAAAAAAAAACAAAAACTAAATGTGGTGCTTAACTTCAATAATTATCTTATTCTAAGACTTAACACATCTATTTCTAGGTATTTTACAATTGTGAAAAAAATACCTATTTCTAGGTATTTTACAGTTGTGAAAAGTCGTATTCTAAGACTTAACACGTCTATTTCTAGCTATTTTGCAAAACAGCTCCCGCTATTTGGGGTTTAACATTCTGATCAGTGCCGGCTGGCTTTTAGAAGGAGGTGAGGATAATGATGACAGAACTGTAACCAGGAAGAACACTGCAAGGCCTCTCAGTACTGAGAATGTTCATAGATGTTAGCATACATCGAACAAAATATGTAATATTTATGTGTCAAAAATAAAATCAGTCTAGATGAAAAAATAGAAGAAGAAATCTGCCAATCCCTACCACATACAATTGGAAGGCAGAAGGTGTTGGAGATTACAACCAAGGAAGGATGTCAGCTCATCAACAGACTTTAGTAACAGAGAACAAATTCAAGTTCAACGTTTGCATATTTAGTGCACAAATTTTATATGCATCAAGCAGAGGAAACTTCATTTAACTCTTGTGTTTCTTCAACAGGTATTTTATGTGTATGTGAGAAACTCGGAAAGTGTGAATGATGAAATAAAGGAAGGCAATCAGAGCATTCTCTTAACAATCTTAATAGTAAGAAAAATTTTCTACCTGAATGTGTATTGCCTAGGATTCGTAACTGTGTAATACACCTAGTCTTATTTAAATAACGGCAAATTTAAGTATCCTAAAAATACTCGCTCTTACTATATTCTATTATATTCTACATTCAAATATAATGACAGTAAAACATAAAGATATTTTTCTATATGGAATCAATGACAGTATAATATACACCAGAAATACTAAAGGCTTGGTTGCTGTTCAGAAATACTAAAGGCTTGGTTGCTGTTATTTTTTTTTAAATTTTTTAGTGTTTATTTATTTTTGAGAGAGAGAGAGAGAGAGAGAGAGAGAGCACAAATGGGGGAGGGGCAGAAAGGGAGGGATGCAAAGAATCCGAAGCAGGCTCCAGGCTCTGAGCTGTCAGCACAAAGCCCAACCCGAGGCTCAGACTCACGAACCGTGAGATCATGACCTGAGCCGAAGCTGGACTGTTAACCAACTGAGCCACCCAGGCACCCCAGCTTGGTTGCTATTCTTATACATTATTGACATGATATGTATCCAAAGACAATTTGGATTGCCTGTGGTGATTTATAAAGAATGCTATATGGCCAAAAATCATTTAAGTATGGATGAAAAAATAAACTAATTTGAATAATGAAAAAGAAAGGTGAAAAATTAAGTGGAATTTTATACTGGGAAAAGATACTGAGATAGAATATAAGTGTTATTTCTGTGCATATGGTAACTGAGACAGAAAAGGGAAACAAAATGGATTACAGACCTCTTTTTTCTCTTTAATGGCAGAAGAATAGTTTCTTGAGGGAGAAAGTTTCCCAAGTTTTTATAAATTTATAAAATTATATCCATTTCCACATGAGTCTTTGTATATTGAACGTGTATCTTTCCTATTTTCTAAATATATGCAGAGATGTTACATATTCAATTATTTTTTAATTGACCACTAACAAATCCTAAAGTTATACAGTTGTTTGGTTAAGACATATATTCATTAAAATGTGCAGCTCTGGGTGACACAACACAGAAACCCTGGGACCTAATGCTGTTACTGGCAGGCATCCTTCCATTGTTTATGATTTTACTTGGAAACATCTTAGTACTTAACGATGAAGCATTCTATTAACTGTGTAAAGTATTACTCGATCCCTAGTTTACTAGAGGTTTTAGTCTTTGTTTGCTTATGTATTTATCAAGAATGAATCTTGAATCTTGTCAAAGGTTGTGTGTATCAAGAATAATCAAATAGTTTTACTAAATCTATTAAGATAATTAATGGATTTTATTTCATATTTCATATTTAAGAAATCTGTCCCTCTCTTAGGTTACTTAAAATTCTTTGATGTTGTCCTCTAAAAGACTTATATTTTCTTACCCATTTATGTCTTCAGTCACTCACACTTGATTTTATTTCTGTGTTGTGAGGGAAGGGTCCTATTTCATTTCTGTCTTTAAAGATACTCGGTTGTCCAGAACTATTTATTGAAAAGCCTGTGCCATTCCATTGATATTCAGGGACGCCTCTGTTCATATATAAAATGCCCATGTATACAGGGTCTGTTTCTGGGATATCTATTCCAATTTGTATGCTTCTGCCAAATTCTTTGGATAGCTACTAGTTTGTAGTGCTTTTAACTAAATTCCAGGCTTGGGGGCCTGAGTGGCTCAGTTGGTTGAGCATCTGATTCTTGATTTCGGCTCAGGTCGTGATCCCAGGGTCGTGGGATCGAGCCCTGCATTGAGCCCTGCATCAGGTTCCACACGGAGCAGGGAGCCTGCTTAAGAGTCTCTCTCTCCCTCTGCCCCTCTCCCCGGCTCATGCTCTTGCTCTCTAAAGTAAATAAAAATAAAGATTAATTAATTAGTTAATTAATTCCAGGCTTGAGGTGTTTTGGACCATTCAGATGATGTGAATTTGGGCTACAAATATGTGTAAAAGCTGGCTTCTCATTCTGTTTCACTCCCCGTGGTTGACACTCAAGGCAATTATCTTACAAACCTCCTGGGTGTTCTTCATGTCCTTCCCTAAGAGTAAAACCCTTTGAGACCCGTGCTTTATTAGTGAAAAGACCACCTATTCTACTCCTTGCTTGGAAGAAAACTCTAGAGTTGTGTACTTTCTCCTGTCTTCTTCTCCTGGACGTGCCATGAAATCTGAAGTTTGAAAACTAACTCCAGGAGCAGAGATGCTTTGATGTCAAGCCTACCCCCTACATCCACTGAGATCGGGCTTAAAAAGCCCTTACTATCTTTTTTCTTTTAATTGATTATTTTTGAGAGAGATGGTGAGCTGGGGAGGGGCAGAGAGAGGGGGAATCCCAAGCAGGCTCTGCAGTGTCGATGCAGAGCCCAAAGTGGGGCTTGAACTCATGAAACCCTGAGATCATGACCTGAGCCAAAACAAAGAGTCTGATGCTTCACAGACTGAGTCACCCAGGGAGCCCAAAAGTTCTTATATCTTTAAAAAAATGTCCCTACTATCTCGTCAGCTTTTCTGTGTGTGTGTGTGTGTGTGTGTGTGTGTGTGTGTGTGTGTGTGTTTTAATTTAATGCAGGACTTTTAGGGTTTTTCCTGCTCCCCTATTGGAAGGGTTGGTTTGGATAAACTCCTGTCCGAAGTATTTTGTAAGATTTTTGTCAAATTTGTAAGAAAATGATCAAATCTTCCATAAGGAAAGGCAAATATTGTTCACTGAATCTGAATCCCATGATGATGCTAATTCTAATGTTCCTTCTTTACTTTTTAGCCATACCTTCAGAGTATCATTTTCCTTTTTGTCATAAGGTGTCTAGAAATGAAGTATGGACAAAAAACAATGAGGAAAGACCCAGTCTTCAGGTCAGGAGAACATTTCTTAACATCTGAGTATAATTTAAATATTTAATGTTGGTGACAGTACATTTAACATCAATTTATTATGATAGATGTACTAGTTAGTTCTTAGCAGGGCAAACTGGACATCGTTATTCTGGGGAAAAAATAAAAACCAAACCAACCCCAAACCACATTAGATTGAATGCAGGCATGCATAATTTCTAAGTCCTGGGTCTTAACAGATTTTAGGCAAGTTGAGTTTTGTTTGTTCCGTGCCTGTCTCTTAGCAGTGGGGAAGCACCAAAGTTTGTTTTTCTCCTGCCAAGAGCAAGTATCAGTCCCCGAAGAGGAGACGTGAGAATGAGCTGGTGCGTTCAGTATGTGGGTGGACCATTTTGGAAAGAGAAGAGAAGCCAGTTCTGGTGATCACTGATGATGTAATGTGAGCACAATGTGGATGAGGCAGACGGGAAACACTGATGAGTGTGCATCTGAGGGAATTTAGAGAGCCCGTTGACAGATGGAATAGAAGGTCTTAAAGACAATAATCAAAGAAAATATTTCAAGGGACTTGGCTACCTACAGAAGGAATCTTGTTGGTGGTAAATCACTTTTTTTTCTCTTAAAGCCAAGGATAGTCATTTAAGTATAGAGGCTTACGTATGTTCTCTTGATAAGGTGGTACAGCTAGAATCGAATGGTACGTTATTTCATTTTCTCTGTAGGATCTCCTCAAGAAGTAGGGAAAATCATCCAAACCCAGAAGAGCCAGAAGAAGAAGATGAGAATGTCCAAGCTGAAAGAGCGAGAACAGCAAATGCACTCACTACTCTGAACCCGGATGAGGTGACAAGTGTCTTGACCCTTCACAAAACTCTGAGCTCGGTAGCTTGTCCTGGAGAGCTGAACTCCTGGTTTTTCTTTTCGCAGCTTGGTTTTGTTTCTGTGACATTGCATGTGTATGTCATATTTAAATTGCATCTTTTGCAGTACGCATCTTATCATGACTCCTCTAGTTTTCTCTTCTTCGGTTTTTTGTGGGTCTTCACCGGCCACGTCTTCATGCGTCACTGCAATTCAACACATTCTCCGATATTTTTATCAACCTTAACAAAAGTTCGCATCTTCTGCAAGACTTGCAGTTTCATTTTGCCTCATCTCGAATTGTGACATTAGTAACGGTAATCAGCAGGTGAATTTACACCTAGTTCATTTCAATAAGAAATGAACCAGAGGGGCGCCTGGGTGGCTCAGTCGGTTAAGCGACCAACTTCATTCAGCTCAGGTCCTGATCTCACAGCTAGTGAGTTCAAACCCCGCATAGGGCTCTGTGCTGACAGCGCAGAGCCTGGAGCCTGCTTCGGTTTCTGTGCCTCCCTCTCTCTCTGCCCCTCCCCTGCTCACGCTCTGTCTTTCTCTGTCTCAAAAATAAATAAACAAAAAAAATTTTTTAAAAGAAATAAACTAGAAATTAGTGCCAAGGGCATAACGCAAACATGAATTTGATTAGGAATTGGTTTTCTCCGTGGTTGATAAAGTAATCTTCATTCATGAACATACATTTAGGCATTTCATTTGAAAGAAAGAGGCTGAATTATCACTGTCACAAAATCTGGTTAGATTCATAGCCTAGGGCATGAAAGATAAAACATGAATGCACAAAATATCTGAAATTTAATGGGAAAATCATGCTTTGTCATGTTTTCCAGAAACCACTCGTAGTGGCAAGCTGTTTACACAAGGAATATAAAGAGAAAAAGGAACATTGCTTTTCAACAAGAAAGAGGAAAATAGCCATTAGAAACATCTCATTCTGCGTTAACAAAGGTTTGGATAATGTTCCCTTTATTAGAATGTTCCTTATTATTTAGGTTTGGGGCTATGAAAAGGGGGAAAATTTCCATTCTTTGAGACTGTTCACCTATCTTGGTTAACAGATAATTATAAAGATACTTGACATGTTGGCAGAGAAACAATTTCTGTTTCAAAATCATGTCCCAGTTCAAATGGTGAGAAACCCCATCTTGGATCAGGAAGACCAAACCATTCTACTATAAATCCAAAGTCTTTCCATTCACACTGCAATATAGAAAATTACAAGGGGGTTGTTGGAAGATGTTCTTTTGTTTCGAAATATTACTAAGCTAAGTGAATTTAGGCTGGTCAAACTTTGAAGTACAAATCATATCGTCAATGACGACTGTGTCTTCCAGGTGAAGTGTTGGGGTTGCTGGGACACAATGGAGCCGGTAAAAGCACTTCTATTAAAATGGTAACAGGAGACACAAAGCCAACTGCAGGAACGGTACGTGACAAGCTCATTGCCAGGGGAAATTTCATTTGCAGTGTCAATATCGTCCTCATATTGTTCTTTCAGCAGATCAAATGATTTTTTAGAAAATGAATAAATAGATGATTTATTATAATTATATATAACTATATTTAATTATAATTAATTATTTATTTATAATTATAATTAT